GTCATATTTGTTCTTTTATTTTCATACCAATTTGTCATATTTGTTTCACTATTGTTTTTAGAGTATACAAAAATACAGTCGAAAAACTGTATATATCGGTTTTTTTTTTTTTGGTAAATTAATGTGACAGTCTTCACTATGAGCATTAAAATTATACGTATATTAATTTAAAAGCGTACAATTACAATGTGTCTACTTAAAATATCTCGTCATCTAGCTAGCATGTAATTTTTTTTCCCCTTCAAAAAGGAACAATTACAACGTCAGGTAGCTAATGGCCTATGAAGTGCTAGACCTCACCACACGGCCGCCTCCTCTAGCTTGGTTTAGTTATAGGATTCAACTCTTTAGCCTTTTTGATTTCTAACTACTGTATTAAAGTATTACACAACCCCGACGGGCGACGGCTAAGGTAACAAAAAAAAAAAAATGGACAGGCTCAAAATGTAATGTAAACGTGGTTTAGTAATTAGAGGAGTAAGATGGACACTTTATAGCAAATTGGTTTTGGTCCACCATCAAAATCAAACACTTAATTATATAGCAACCGAACACAGTACGAACACAATCGATGGATGGATGAATGATGAATCGAACTTCAAATCAAACTTTGATTTTACCATTCCACCATATCTTCTAGTAAAAGGTGTCCATTTCGCACCAACCCTTTTTTTTTTTTCCCCCTTTTTCTTCTTCTTCTTCTTCTTCTGGTTCTTAGTATATGTACTACTACCTACTTGTAATTATCGCGTTGGCTGTTAAATTTTCCCAAGTCATGAACTTCACCAATTAAGGCATTAATAATGCATCTCTCCGACGGCTCAATTATGGTATATTGACGATGCCTTTTTTCCATGATTCATCAATCCATTTAGGACATCACGAGAGCACAGTACACATTACTTGGAGGAAGAAAATGACAAATTTTAGTGCTCAGAAAACTTTAAGGGGACGAAGTCTCCTCTTTCCCAAGTTTACTAGTACTACACTAGCATTTTTTGAGCCCGTGACTTTCTTGTGTTATTCTAATGTCAAATAAAAATTGAATTTAATTCTACAAAATATTCTCCATGATACTTTGAAGTTATTATTAATCGCCTGTTGAGTTGTTACCTCCTCGAGTTAAAAACCCTAACAACGTTAACAAATCACTAATGTCAAAATTAGTTAATTTGAGCCAGAATCATCATTCAAGGTAATAATTCCATTGTCCCAAAACAAAATTCTGGAGAGTTGCAATGATCAAATGTTTTGTTAATTGTTAGGGATCTTATATGGTCTGAAAAGGTTTGTGAAATTATATTGAGTTGGAGGAACGCGGAATATCACGGAATGAGATTTAAGGTATTGTCCAAAACTAGATACAAGTAAATTAAGGTAAGTACTGACAAAAAACAACATATGATCTTATGAGGAAAAACTTAGGAGCAAGAATATATATATATATCATAAAAATTGTCCATCAAAGCTGACGGATTGGTGTTAAATTTTAGCTGTTGTTTTTTCTACAAAGGCATAAAAATTTCACATTCTGTCGGTCGTGATGATTCATCATTTGCTTAGTTGCATTGTTCATGCCGAGAATCTGTACCAGGAAAGAAAATTAAATGGAGTAATTGTATATATTTTGTGCATTTGTCATCCATTTAATTAAAGTCCGATTTCAGTCGTTGCTCCGTCCTCTTCTTTGAATTTTTTTTCACGGCGGCAATTCCTTCATTCGTTAATTATAATATTCTTCATTTGGCGCATGCAATAAACTAAACAAAACGCTAAAATTTGTATCCCCTAATCGCTATGAGTACCTCTTTTTTTTTTTCTTATTTTTTCCGCATATATATTGTTGTTTTTCATCTATAATCATTGACTGAATATGCTTCGTAGAGTTAGAGATATATTAAGAGTTGGCAAAGAAATTAATGTTTGAGTCCTTCTGAAAATTGCATTTATACATTCTGCTTTACTTTCTTTTCCGTTTGTTCCCCTAATTTGATACCGGTACGTACCACGTCGCAGCCTCTGTTTACTTCTTTTTTTTTCCGTTGTCTATTGTTTAGCCCAAAAAGTCTAAGGTGGCACGGTGATACATAATCTTCAATAGCTTTTAATAAGATCCTTTTCACCTATTAACTATTACATCTGTTTATTTTATATTTTAATAGTTACAGTTGTTTAACTAAAAGTATATAGTTTATTAACCGTCCTCGTATGAGATCGGAAATCACAAATCAAATTTTTAGAGACTACTATATGACTATAATAAACATAAATAGTTTATGTATCTTTACAGAATTCTTCTAATTCCCTTGTTTAATTTGACTTTTGAATTTGAGGGGGAAAAAATAAAAAGAATTTGGTGCAGAGGTTGATCGGTGAACACTGATCCCGGCAATTCCCATACCAAACCCATAAGATGATAGAACAACTAATAAACTCTTGACCAATGAGCCAAAGAAGTACACCAAGTTTAAGAGTACAATCAAATTTAGTACACTTTCTCACTACGCCAAAAATATCAAGATGTACATGACAATTCATTACATAAGTACACTTCTATTCCGTTTTCTCTTCTATTAATATTTCTTATTAATCCCGGTTTACATCATTGTCAAAAACAAAAAAACAAAAAAAAGAAAAAGAAAAACAGAATAGTTGTAGTCTTGTAGATAATGGTGGATCAGGTAATGGATGTAAAGGCTTTAAGAGTACAAAAAACTGCATTGACGCCATTCCCTTATCTTCTTGATTAAAGGCAAACCACCCCCCACACAAGAAAAAATCTCCATCCATTTCCATACCTCTCCAAGAAAACATATTTGGACTTAATTAGTTTGTTTCATACTTTACAAAAATGGAGAATAAAGATAATAATAATGAATAACAAAAACATGTTAATCGTGAAGAAACAAACAACTCTTTCTCTCTCAAATTCCATGTACGTGGCGGTTAGGGTACGCCATCATTTCATCTTTGCCTAACCCAAAAACACGAGAAAATAAAATTTATTACTCGATTTTTTTTTTTTTTTGAAGGGTTATTACTCGATGAGTTTATGTAAAATTTCCAACTAAACAGACTATATGTATGGGGGCAATATTCTCGTTGCCAAAGGGATAGATATGACTGACAATTATTATTACTATCACATTTTTTTTCAATTTTTTTTTTTTTTTTTTTGTTTTAGTTCAATAATGTAGCCAACAAGTAAGACAGGATTTCGAGACAAAATATTTGAAAACTTGCCTTCTTATTTATTATTGTTTTTGTTTGTTTGTTTGTTTGTTTGTTATATACATATGTTTTTAAATTTCGTGAATGGTTAGAATTTAGATATATATTCCCCCACTACTCACATTAGTATAAATTTGCGCACGCTAGCTAATTTGGGTGTTCTTAAGACTGCGATGCGAGTAATCAGTACGGCCAAATTATATTTTGATTATTCCGATCCCATAGATTATAGATAGAGCCTTAAACCAAACCAGCTAGCAATTGCGTCTATAATTCTATTATCACACAAACGTAAGACGCCATATGTACTTATTTAAAGAAACAAGATATCATTTATAAATGCTCCATTTAGATGTGCATAACGCAAGTTATGAAACCTTTGCAAAATGCATAGTGGACGGAAACTTTATATGTGTCGATCCAATTCAGATATAGTACTGTTTCCAGTTGGTGTCAAATTATTGGATCCATTGTTAGTGTTATTGCATAATTTGTTGGAAATTATCTTAATTCCTTATCAAATATTTATTGCGGAAAGATATTATATGGACGAGTATCTAGTTTTAGTAAACTTGCCAATCTTATTATAATTACTTAGAATTTATAAGATATTAATGTTAGATATGAACATGAACCTATGATGAATCCTTTTTTTAAGGCTTTCGAAATTTCTCTAAGAAAAACTTACCCACTACGAGTTATGATGAACCTTCAGTACTATGATTAGACCACGTTAGCTTGTACATTATATACATTGAGGGAAGGATTAAATTTACGAAGAGAGAAAAGACTACAATTAATTCTTCATTACTTAGTTGCACTAAAAATCTGTTTATGTAGTATTTTCGGAAAACGATTAACTTCTAAAGAATCCCTTTCCTGCCACTGAGTCCGGACATATAAATTGTTCCGCGCATGTACAAATGAATAGACATAGCAACATTATTAGTCTGAAATTTATTCACGGATTTTTCAAAAAAAAAAGAATTTAAGATATCTGTATAATTTAATAATGAGAATGACAAATTAACAAATAAACATAAAACTCTATCCGTTTCGAATAATTTAGTGTTATAAGAAAGATGAAATAGTCTAATTTTAAAATTTGAAATTAAACTGTTATTATAAGACGGAGAGAAAATAGTATTCCCTCCGTCCCATAGTTATTGTCCAGTTTGAGGTTTTATTTTTAGTTCAAATTATATTAAAAATGAAACCTCAAACTGGACAATAATTTTGAGATAGAGGGAGTAGTATTTATTAAAAATACTTAAAATACAACAAGATGAAGCGCACAAAAAAATGCGTTTAGGACTTGTGAGATACTCACTCTGGCTAGAGTGTGCGAACAAGAAAAAGGGTCAAGGGGCAAAGTAGTCCATTTAGCGGCAGCCGGAATTGGGGTGCGACCTGCCTTGGTCAAAAATAAAGAGCTCTCGGAGGTTGGTTAGTCATGGAAGAAGGCTGGAGCGAAAAACAAGCTAATCACTTCCATTCCAATAAAGTCCAAAAAGTCCATTCCGACGGTCATCGAAACCGTTCTCCCCATTGTCCCAATTTCACCATATGCCTTCATAATTAATCATCCATATCATGGCACTTTCCTACATACATCATCATACATACACACATAGCATACATACATCATACATAGCCTCTTGTTTTTGAACAACATACACATGCTACTGTAGCACCCATTCTCTGAATTCTTTTCTTGTTTCTGTTTTTAATTTATCCTTTTTTTCTTTTCATTTTTCCTTTTTTTTTTTGGTTGAATTTAATAATTACATTCAAAATCAAATATTAAAAGAAAGGCTGACGGCTGACCTCACCACCCTCTTCTATATATCCCAACCTTTACCTCCATTTTCTCCCTTCAAACAATTCTACACAATTCCTATACCTTAAAATTCCTCATCATCAAAACCACCTAAGGTTTTTTTCCATCTTAGTACTACAAACCCCCAGCCCAGAGAAAAACCCAAGTATCAAAAGCATCGAATGGGTGAGGTAATTCACGGAAATATCCCCCTTTTTTTTGTCCACAAATGCTTTCGTTGTTTAAATAATCCATTCTCCGATGTTCTCCTCCTGTTCTCAGTTTCATTGATTTCATCATATCTGATTAATTACTAATCCCCTCCCGGTTGAATCCGTTCTGTGTTCCAGAAAGACGATAAGAAGGGTGACGCGAAGAATGATGGACCAGAGAAGAAGGCCGCCGCCGACGGTGGCGGTGGCAAGAAGGACGACGGCCCAACCACCATTGTGTTGAAGATGGACTTACATTGCGAAGGTTGCGCCAAGAAAGTCAAACGTGCTGTTAGAAATTTCGGAGGTACGTTAACAACTCATCGAAATAATCACAATTGTCCCAATATATATATATATATATATATATATATATATATATATATAAACAATATTCTTCCATTGCCTTTACACAACCGGAAATCGCAATATTCTTTTTAGTGTTTGAATTCATTCAATTTATTATTTTAATCAGAAGATAACTTCTTCTTCTTCTATAACTTTTTCTTGTTTTTTTTTTTAATTTATCATTTCACTACTTTCGAAGTTGATGTAATTAATTGGAATAAAATACTACTACTATATTATGACGGAAGCATTATTATGTAATATTTTGGATATTTTAATTTCATGATGACTTTCAATATTTGTATTCTTTGCTACAAAATGGTCTTAAAACTTAACACAAAAAATGTGACGTGCAATGGCTACCTACCGGCCATGAGATGCCATCATATGCTAGTACCACTCTTTCCATTTCTACCAGTCCAACTAACCTGATTTTTTTTTTTTTTTAAAAAAAGAAAATTTCTTGTTTCCTCTCCAATTATTTAAAATTTTTATCCTTTGATGATTTCGTGGTGTCTTACTTTTCGGAAGTTCCAAGGAACCAACTCCCCTGATCTGATGATCCACCACGTTCAACGTTCAGGATTTCCCATTTACTACGAAATTTACAGTTACATAACTTGCATTTGCACCAATCTTTAATGATGCAGATTTTTTATTTATTTGGTAGAATTAATAAATAGAGATACTATTTCAGTTTCCTTTGTGTAAGATAAGTGTATCATTTTTATGAGATGGTCATATTGAACACGGCAAATGTCAAATGAAGAAGTAATAATAATCATAGCAATTAATTAATTTTGTTTTTCCTGGTCCAAAGGTGTGGAAGAAGTCAAGACAGACTGCGACACCAACAAAATAACAGTAAAAGGGAATGTGGACCCGAGTTGGGTTCGGGAGAAAGTGGAACAAAAATACAAGAAGAAGGTGGAGCTGGTCTCTCCTCAACCCAAAAAAGACGCCGGCGGAGGTGACAAGAAGGCCGACGATAAATCCGATAAGAAACCTGCTGATGACAAGAAGAAAGACGACGCCAACAAGAAACCCAAAGAGGTAATTAAACCCATCTTAATTATTGGCTGCTTTTTGTTAGTTCAAAATCAAATTGTGTAACTATAACGAATAATTTTTTCCTTAAATTAATATATCCATACGCATAATAATAATTAGAAAAAAAAAACTAGGCTCCATGACGTAATGACGTTGACATCTTTTCTTTTCTTTTTTTTCTTCCTGTAAAATTAAAGTCGCTTTCTGAAGTTCATCTTCAATTATGTGAGTCGATTGTTTGAATATTCTTCAATATAGTAAAAATGTTCCCTTATTTTGATTCAGCCTCAAGTAAGCACTGTGGTGTTGAAGATTAAGCTACACTGCGATGGATGTGCCCAGAAAATCAAACGGAAAGTCAGAAAGTTTGACGGTAAGTTCTGCACGAGTTTAAGATATCATTCAAAGTTTATATTATACGGTCTTTCTTTTGAATCAATAGATGTGACATTTTAGTCATAGTAATTTTAATTACATGGTTGAATAATTGCTGGGGAAGTACGGATGATTTTGATTTCTTGAATAGTAGTAGTATTATTTTCCTTCAATATTCGAATATTCTGTCGTTTCAATTTTCATAAAAGTCAAATTTGTATGATTTTTTTTTACAGGAGTCGATGAAGTGAAAGTAGATTCAGACAAGGATCTGGTCACGGCGAAGGGAACAATGGATCCGAAGGAGCTGGCGAGCTACTTGAAAGACATAACGAAAAGGCCGGTTGATATCGTCCCGCCGCCTAAGAAAGACGACGGAGGCGGCGATAAGAAAGGAAAAGAAGGTGGCGGTGGCGGAGACAAGAAAGACGCTGAAAAGCCCAAAGAAGGTGGTGGTGGTGGTGGCGGAGACAAGAAGGACAAAGAAAAAGAAAGCGGTGGCGGCGGCGGGGAGAAGAAAAAAGACGGCGGTGAAGATAAAGGTAAAAGTGTTGAGGAGTCAAAGGTTGAAATCCACAAGTCGGAATACCACGGGTATGCTAGCACTAGTGGCACCGCCGTGCCGTACACCACCGGGTATTACCAATACGGTGTTCCGGCGTACAATCACGCCTACGCAATGCAAGATTACGGCGTCCAGCCGGCGTACAATTACCAAATCCAAGAATATGGACACTCCGGCCACGTCGTGGAGTACCACCGCCCTCATTACGAACCTCCGCCGCCTCCTCCGACGTTCTTACCGACTCACGATCAAATGTTCAGCGATGAAAATCCCAATGCTTGCTCTCTCATGTGAAAACGACAGCCCACCGGATACACCAATGTTTTGAGATTAATTAAAAAATTGTAAATAGAAAGAGAGATTATATTTTTAATTAAGGCGAAAAAAACAACATTAAAGAAAAGAAAATCTGTGGCCGAGGCAGGTTCGTATATAAGAGGACAAAATTTTCCTTGTAAAAGATAATGCCAGTAGTTAGGTTCTTATGGAAACGGTTAAACCGACGACTGGATTAGGCAGGCACGGTTTAATTAAGTTTTCATTGGCTAATTAATCAGGTTTTTTTTTTTTTTTGATGGGGCTTTGACTTATATGTCGATCCATATTATTAATTTATATTTTCAGAATTTCAACTAGCTCTTGTACCATTTCAATTTCAATTAATTAGATTATCTCGAAAAATTTTGAAAACGAGGCATGATGTGTAAGCCTGCGGTTCAATGGAGTCGGCAATTTTAATTTGTATGAATCTGCAAGATGTATTCAAAAATAATAATTATGTACAAAAGAGCTTACTTCATTTGTCTTGTTCTTGGATACAGCAATACTTATACATATTTTGGCTAATTTTGGTGTCTTGTAATTTAGCAATTGTAGTCATATTTTTTCCGGTTACTTCGGTGGGTGGTGTCATTAGTATCGGGGGTCCATATTCATTTGCGACAGAGACCAATTTGGGATCCGAAGCTCATCATGTTGTCCTGCTTGGAGTTCATTACCCTAATTAAGTTTACTTGTTGTGTATTGTAAAATTTGTATTGCGACTACTAACTAGGGCTTTTGTCAAGCTGAAAAGAATCACGATACGGTAAAATTATAAAAGTTGTTTGTGATCTTTAATGCAAGCAGACTAGTTAGCTGAATTCGACACTTGAGTCTTAGCTTTGGATCGAGATAGACATATCAATCAATCATCGTACAATGATGACGTTATTTTCTATCTTCTAGCTATCGTAGCATCACATTATCAAAGTTTTGCGAGGGTAAATAGCAGCCAAGGCATAATTATCCTAGTCTCCTAGGAGCATGTTGGGCTTCAAATTACGTACGAGTGAAGAAAATGAGGATCCCTACAGAAAAGTGAGTTGCTTCCACGTCAAGGAGGACTTCTCAAAGGAGCTACCAAGGCTTAACTTATCGTCCAATATATATCTATCTTGGCCCCTGCAATAATACTCTCATACAGCTAGCTAATGATATTGATTGTCTTTTTTTTTTTTTTTTTTTTGAGTTCATTATTTATGACTACAAAATCGATCGAAAGAACATTATATATTTTGGTTTTCTTTTACTTGTGTGTTTATTAGAAAGTCGCTATATTTGACGTATTGATCGTGAAGTAAATGTCTACATGAGAATAATTCAGGCTATTTTCCACAGTAAGACAGCGAAGTTCATATCATCTTATTTTGGACTTTTATAGAGATTGGCCAATCAAATATATCATAGATTCCTCAAGAAATTAAAAAATTCCAGAGAGAAAAAGAACGTCTAATCTAAAAAATTTGAATTTTTAAATCATCAGGCGTATGGCCTTTCATCACAGCTAATTAATAAGAACAGATTGAGTTGTAAATTTCAACTTCAACAAATAAATAAATGAATAGCCACAAAAGTTCACTATAAAGAACTACGTACATGAACACGACGATAATCCAGCTACCGTTTTTGTTTAGCTTCAGTCTTTCATATCTCTAAGCGATGGATCTAGTATGTTCACACCCCGTTTGATTACGTGTTTTCATATATGTATATATATATATATATATATATATATATATATATATATATATATATATATATAACCCCTCCCTAGTTGCGTTCATCATCGTCAACACCTAAATGCTAAATATAAAGAAATGATATTGTTTTCTTTGGATGATCTTCAGAAGATATTATTCCTTTATTCTGACAAGCAAAATCATCGGAGTACTAGCTCCAACATTAAATTGAATTGGGAATATACGCTGCTTCAGTATGCACGCATTTTTTGTACGTTATGATTGGAGATACGTGAATCTTCATCGTTTCAACAGAAACCATTAAATTAAGAATCATGCAGTTTTAATACTTTGATATTGTTATTAGTAAGCAGGGAGGTTGGTTTTTTTTTTTTTTTTTTTTTGGACTTTGGAGAAAGATGCACAAATTGTTTAAACACTCATTCACACAACATTCATGAATGCGCCCCGGATCGGAGGCGGATTAGAAAATTACGCCCCACGCAGAATTACCTGGTTTCTATTGTACGTCTTCAAACAAAGCTCAGTAGATGTATCACGCCATATGCATGGTTAACGGGCATAAAGATAACATTCCATGGTAGAGATTCACGTTCAATTTTTCATCAATTTTATACTCCATCTGTCCCAAAATTATTGTCCAGTTTGAAATTTCACTTTTAGTATTATTTGAACTAAAAATAAAAATCCAAACTGGACAATAATTTTGGGACGAAAGGAGTATATAGTATGATGACACATAACAATTCTAATTTACTTCTCTCTGTTCCAAATATTTTTGTTAGTGCTTCATACTAAGTGAAGAAGATGTAGCTTATAAATAAATTAGTGAATGACATGCACACGATCTTCTTCTCCCGGTGAGAGTTAAATCACATGATTTGTTGGTTTCACCAAAAAAATATGGGACAAAAACAGTGTATTACGCATCTAAGGGTATGTTTGTTTCGTTTTTTTATTGTGTGTTTTTAAATGTTTTTTGTATAGGAAATGTAAAAAGATGTATTAGAAATCGAAAAAAATATGCTGAGATGGGACAGTTATTATTAAAATAATCTGAAAATACCATCTAAAAAACCAAACAAACAGAGCTTAAATGTCTTTTAAGTTATGCCTACAAATTCCATGAAAATTGGGGGACAAGGACAGTTGATGATCAGTCATGCTATCCCTTACGTACGTAGGAAGAATCAGACAGAATGAAAGAACACAATCTCAGAAGCAATCTATCTAGTACGAGTCTTTTGCAAAAATCTTGGAAACCAAACAAAAGAAACACATATAAAGTGTTGTTTTTCAGTGCCCTTAGTGATTGTCTGTTTCAATTTTGGAAATTCTGCTGACTTAGGCAGTAATCGATAAACTGATAAGGTGAATATGTGGTACTAAATATTTACACATATATTAGTTGTTTTGGTCTTGAAGCAAAGCAATATAGCTTTAGTTCGTTGTCAAATTGACGAAGCAATTCATCTTAATTTATTTCCGCATATGCAGACATGAGAGGTGATCTTGGAATTGTCTTAAGGTTAATTGGGAGTCTAGCTACCTTACATTGGATCGTTCTCAACGTTGGCTTCATATGAATTGGTGGTATTCTGACTAAAACTCCTTTACACGACAGTTTCTTCAAATTTTGGGCAATTATTGTGTATTTTTGCCACTTTTGTTACGCCTTAGCTTGCTTTTCCTTTCAATAATGAAGACAAATGTATCAACATTTTCGATTATCTTTTCATCTTCCTTCGTCATTTTGAACGGGACATCTGCGTTCTATCAACATCCAGTCAGAATTTTGATTATACTCCCTTGGTTTCATAATTATTGTCCAGTTTAGATTTTCATTTTTAGTACAAATGTACTAAAAGTGAAATCTCAAACTAGACAATAATTTTGGGATAGAGGAAGTACTAAAATTATTCCCGTCCTAATAAAAATAAAAATTATGTTATATATACCTCACATCTCAGAGAAAATAATCTATATTGTTGTATTGTTATAATTTAATAAGATATACTTAACTTTTTGTATGAAAAGATTAATAAACATGTCTCTTATTCTGTGTAGGAGGGAATATTACTTTTATTTATAATTATTCGGAAATTCGCTTCTACTTATTCTTCATTTTTCTCCGCACGGAAATTGTGTCCCCAACTTTAGGACTCAATATCTAAAATCCGGTTTTTGTTTTTTTTTTTTTGGTACGTAAAAATGCATGCAACTATCAAACATTATTCTTCAATAAAGACAAGGAGACCATAGTTTAATGGGAAAAGGTGAAAAGTAATGAAGATCTGGAGGAGAATTTTACATGGGGCTCAGGAATGTAAATTCTAAAAGGACCTTTTCTAATTCTCAAGGACAGGTGGTCGTGATTCACTGATTCTCTCGTTGTCAGTTTGTGAATATATCACAATTACAACCTGGATTAAGTTAATTAATCGTCATTCTCGTAAATCCGCCACAGGAAAACGCAAAATTCAAATTCCATTGTTGAAATTCTGTCAATTCTAAAGCACACGCATGGGCTTGGAGAAAAAAAAACTGAGGACGCATACTATCGCATTTTCTCCATTTGTCATTTTATATATGCCACGATTTTTTATTAATCAAAACAAAATACGATGGCTGCATAATAATTGTGCACTGTTACGTATTTGTTCGGAATTCTTTGGTTGAAAAAGAGGTCATTATAAAGCAGCCAATCATTTGAGCAAGATAAGAAAATTGCATTACTTCAATGTTCAATAGCGATGTTTCCAATTTGCACCATTAAAGTGTCTGATTTTGATATCTGACAGCGACTTGATCATCTACTTAATAATACTCATTTAATCACCATGACATACCATTTCGGTTAATTTTGTTTGAATCAATATTTGATCACATCGGGAAGTTAATCAACTGAATATACTCCCTCATGTCTTTATTATAAGGCATTTTGATTTGTCCTAGGTTTGTCATAAGTTTTACCTATGATATTTTTTTAAATAAAATAAAAATTTTAAAAATATTTCTTAATAATTAAAAAAAACTATGAATGTGAAAATATATTTTTAAAATTTTTTTCAATTAAAAACACATTCTAGATGAAACCTAAGGCGAAATCAAAATAAGGACTGGAGGGAATATATTATTTTTTCTGTTCTAAAAAAAAAATCTACATTGGATTTTTAGAATATAATCACTTATTCCATTTGGGTTTGAATTTGATGTCTGAGGTCTGGAAATATTTTCTCATGCCTGAAACAGATTCACAAAATTCAGATCATCAAGAGACGAACAGATAATGTTTTAGAAAATTAATTTATTTCAACTTGGGTGAATATACTGACTTTTTGAGAACCAAAGACAAATATGCGTGCGTAGGAAACTTGTCTATCTTGGGTTTCATATATTCGCGACTATTTTTGAAAGAGAATTAATTAGCAAAAATTCTAAACATGCAAGATCTTTGTTACTACATAGATTGACACAGTTATATTATGAAGCACATATGCTAGAGCACTCAATTCAAGGGTTTGGGTCCAACTTCATCGATCGATCTATCTAGAAAATAACAAGGGAGAAGAAGAAGAAGAAACAACGATAAATCGAGATTGAATATATTAACTATGAAATGATAGAATATCTCTTGATCAATAATATTCCATCAACGTCATATATAAACGTTTGCGGCATGTTGATTTCTATGAACTGACTGCGGTGGTATACTTCGAACTGCAATTTTGGATTTTACTTATCATTTGTAAGTAATTTGATTTCTCCCAATCGGCTAAATTATTTTTTCAAATACTGTATAGTAGTATAATAAACGTGATAATCATTTTAAAAAATAAAAATAATTTTTTAAACTATGTGGTATGCACGCTTGATCATTAAATTATTCGTAACTGGTGTAGATTCGAAGCAATAATTAGCCAAAGGTCTATCAGCTTGAAGGCAGTAATTTTACAAAAACGTTGGTCGCCCCTGATTTTATATCATAATTAAGTAGTGGTAGTAGTAGTATAATGGCCATTAAAATTAAGGACTCAAATATTAAAATGCCACCAATAGATAATATTGGAAGGAACTGAGTGAACCAGAGAGAATCACTAACCAGATCAGATCGATTAGAATCATTTGATCACATCTGTCCCCCAGAAAAGTGCGTAAGGACAATCCTGATTTTGTATATGTAGCCAAAATATTTCGAATCAATTGACCTTCGAGTCATCTACCATTTTGATATTTTAAGAAAACAATAATAGTACGTACAAAAAAAATATATATATTAGTGATAATGTGGTAATGCTACTGATTTATTCCTAACTCCACCCGTTCCTCATTAAGATCATCATCCATCAATCCACTGTTTTCTTTGTCAAAACAAAATTATACGTGTACCACCAATCAATGTCTGATTAACACTGGATCGAATAACTAATTAGAGGACATAACATATCA